CGAGTTTGGCACAGAATTAAGACATTGTGGAAATTGTTTCACAACTAATACAGCCTGGAACACCATACTGTGATGGTGTGTCCGAACATCATAACTGCACCCTATTGGATATGATGCATACCATGATGTCTCTTATCAAATTACCATGATAGTTTATGGGTTAGGCATTAGAGACAACCACATTCACTTTAAATAGGGCACCACGTAATTCCGATGAGATGACACCGTATGAACTATGGTTTAGAGAAAACCTAAGTTGTCATTTCTTAAAAGTTTGGGGCTACGATGCTTATGTGAAAAAGTTTCAGGCTGATAAGCTCGAACCCAAAGCGGATAAATGCATCTTCATAGGACACCCAAAATAGTTGGGTATACCTCCTTTCTCAGATTCAAAAGCAATAAGGGATTGTTTCTAGAATCTGGTCCTTTCTCGAGGAAAAGTTTCTCTCGAAAGAATTGAGTGGGAGGATGGTGGAGACTTGATGAGGTTATTGAACCGTCTCTTCAACTAGTGTGTGGCAGGGCACAGGAAGTTGTTCCTGTGGCACCTATACCAATTGAAGTGGAAGCTTATGATAGTGATCATGAAACTTCAGATCACGTCACTACCAAACCTCGTAGGATGACAAGGATGCGTACTACTTCAGAGTGGTACATAATCCTGTCTTGGAAGTCATATTGCTAGACAACAATGAACCTACGAGCTGTGGAGAAGCGATGGTGGGCCCGGATTCCGATAAATGGCTCGAGGCCATAAAATCCGAGAGAGGATCCATGTATGAAAACAAAGTGTAGACTTTGGCAGAACGACTCGATGGTCGTAAGGCTGTTGAGTACAGATGGATTTTAAAAGGAAGGCGGACAATGATGGTAAATGTCACCATTAAGAAAGCTCGACTTGTCGTTAAGAAGTTTCCCGACAAGTTCAAGGAGTTGACTACGATGAGACTTTCTCACTCGTAGCGATGCCAAGAGTCTGTTGGAATTATATTAGCAGTCACTGCATTATTTATGAAATCTTGCAGATAGGATGTCAAAACACTGTTTCCTCGATGATTTTCTTGAGGAAAGGTTGTATGTGATACAACTGGAAGGTTTTGTCAATCCTGAAAGATGCTAATAAGTATGCAAAGCTCTAGCAATCCTTCTGAGGACTGGAGTAAGCATCTCGGAGTTGGAATGTATGCTTTGATAATGATCAAAGATTTTGGGTGTATACAAAGTTTATGAGAAACTTGTATTTCCAAAGAAGTAAGTGGGAGCACTATAGAATTTCTGATGAGTATATGTTGTTGAAATATTATTGATCAGAAATGACGTAGAATTTCTGAAAAGCATATAGGGTTATTTGGAAAGTATTTTTCAATGAAAAGCCTGGATTAAGCTACTTGAACATTGAGCATCAAGATCTATAAGGATAGATCAAAACGCTTAATGGTACTTTCAAATGAGCACATACCTTGACATGATCTTGAAGGTGTTCAAGATGGATCAGTCAAAGAAGGAGTTCTTGCCTGAGTTGTAAGGTATGACGTTAAGACTTAAAGCTCGACTATGGCAGAATAGAGAGAAAGGACGAAGGTCGTCCCCTATGCTTAAGACATAGGCTCTACAGTATGCTATGCTGTGTACCGCACCTAAAATGTGCCTTGCCATGAGTCAGTCAAGGGGTACAAGAGTGATCCAAGAATGGATCACAGGACATCGGTCAAAGTTATCCTTAGTAACTAGTGGACTAAGGAATTTTTCTCGATTATGGAGGTGGTAAAAGAGTTCGTCGTAAAGGGTTACGCCGATGCAAACTTTGACACTAATCCAGATTATTCTGAGTAGTAAACTAGATTCGTATAGTAGAACAGTTATTTGGAATAGCTCCAAATAGAGCGTGGTAGCTGCATCTAGGAGATGACATAGAGATTTGTAAAGCACACACGGATCTGAAAGGTTCAGACGCGTTGACTATAACCTCTCTCACAAGCATAACATGATCAAACCCAGAACTCATCGAGTGTTAATCACATGGTAAATGTGAACTAGATTATTGACTCTAGTAAACTCTTTGGGTGTTAGTCACATGGGGATGTGACCTTGAGTGTTAATCACATATCGATGTGAACTAGATTATTGACTCTAGTGCAAGTGGGAGACTGTTGGAAATATGCCCTAGAGGCAATAATAAATTGATTATTATTATATTTCCTTGTTCATGATAATCGTTTATTATCCATGCTAGAATTGTATTGATAGGAAACTCAGATACATGTGTGGATACATAGACAACACCATGTCCCTAGTAAGCCTCTAGTTGACTAGCTCGTTGATCAATAGATGGTTACGGTTTCCTGACCATGGACATTGGATGTCGTTGATAACGGGATCACATCATTAGGAGAATGATGTGATGGACAAGACCCAATCCTAAGCATAGCACAAGATCGTGTAGTTCGTATGCTAAAGCTTTTCTAATGTCAAGTATCATTTCCTTAGACCATGAGATTGCGCAACTCCCGGATACCGTAGGAATACTTTGGGTGTGCCAAACGTCACAACGTAACTGGGTGGCTATAAAGGTACACTACAGGTATCTCCAAAAGTGTCTGTTGGGTTGGCACGAATCGAGACTGGGATTTGTCACTCCGTGTAAGGGAGAGGTATCTCTGGGCCCACTCGGTAGGACATCATCATAATGTGCACAATGTGATCAAGGAGTTGATCACGGGATGATTGTTACGAAACGAGTAAAGAGACTTGCCGGTAACGAGATTGAACAAGGTATCGGGATACCGACGATCGAATCTCGGGCAAGTATCGTACCGATGGACAAAGGGAATTGTATACGTGATTGATTAATCCTTGACATCGTGGTTCATCCGATGAGATCATCGTGGAACATGTGGGAGCCAACATTATCCAGATCCCGCTGTTGGTTATTGACCGAAGAGTCATCTCGGTCATGTCTGCATGTCTCCCGAACCCGTAGGGTCTACACACTTAAGGTTCGGTGACGCTAGGGTTATAGAGATATTAGTATGCGGTAACCCGAATGTTGTTCGGAGTCCCGGATGAGATCCCGGATGTCACGAGGAGTTCCGGAATGGTCCGGAGGTAAAGAATTATATATAGGAAATGCTATTTCGGCCATCGGGACAAGTTTCGGGGTCACCGGTATTGTACCGGGACCACCGGAAGGGTCCCGGGGGTCCACTGGGTGGGGCCACCTGCCCCGGGGGGCCACATGGGCTGTAGGGGTGTGCGCCTTGGCCTATATGGGCCAAGGGCACCAGCCCCAAGAGGCCCATGCGCTAAGAGATAAGGAAAGGAAGAGTCCTAAAGGGGGAAGGCACCTCCTAGGTGCCTTGGGGAGGAGGGACTCCTCCCTAGGCGCACCCTTCCTTGGAGGAAGGGCCAAGGCTGCGCCCCCCCCCCCTCTCCCTTGGCCCTATATATAGTGGGGGGGGGGAGGGAGGGCAGCCCCATCTAAGCCCTGGCGCCTCCCTCTCCCTCCCGTGACACATCTCCCTCCTCCCGCAGCGCTTGGCGAAGCCCTGTTGGAATCCCGCTACTTCCACCACCACGCCGTCGTGCTGCTGGATCTCCATTAACCTCTCCTCCTCCCTTGCTGGATCAAGAAGGAGGAGACGTCGCTGCTCCGTACGTGTGTTGAACGTGGAGGTGCCGTCCGTTCGGCGCTAGGATCATCGGTGATTTGGATCACGACGAGTACGACTCCATCAACCCCGTTCTCTTGAACGCTTCCGCGCGCGATCTACAAGGGTATGTAGATCCACTCCTCCCTCGTTGCTAGATGACTCCATAGATTGATCTTGGTGACACGTAGGAAAATTTTGACTTATTGCTACGTTCCCCAACAGCAGCATGGTGCTGAGGTGTATCAGTGGCGACCGCGACGTGCACAGCTGTTTGCGCGCAGGGAGGAGGTGCCGTTGGGCGCCGTGGTGGCGTCGACGATAGCTAGACCGAGCAAGGTTGATGCATCAGTACAGTTCTGAAGATGGAGCGGTGGCAGTTGGCGGCGGCGGCCTCTGAGAGCACGCCGGACCAGCGTGTGCCCCAGACCCGACAAGTGGCTAGGTTGGGGTCTCAGGTCTTAGATGTTAGGCTTCGCTGCGATGTCTGTTTGGTATTAGGCCCAGGTTATCTGCGCCCCTTCATCAACTTGATAGGTGTAGCGACAGTTTGTTGCTTAGACGGCGGCTTTAGTCTTACTGTTGTATGACTTTGTAAGGTCTTGTGAGAATAATTAATAAAGTGGCCGTATGCATCGCCCAGATGCAGAGGCCGGGGTCATCCTCCTTTTCTAAAAAAAGTTCGTGCCTGTATGATCCCCGGGTAGTGGACTTATTTAAAATTAAATCCAGATCCAAATCTTACCGATGGCACTTAACAAACTATTCATTTGTTCAAAATCGCAAATATGGAGGATCAGCATCCTGACAGCTAGGCCATGTTATGTATTTGATTAGTTAATTAGGCTCGTCGCGGAAAATAATATGCGGATTAGAGATAACTTTTGACAGACGAGGCCGGCAAACACGTCGTGCCTGCAACGAACCTACATAATTAGAGGCGTAGAGCTAGTTGACCTGAACGAATCATGCCAATCATTAAAAAGATTAAGCAAAAAATTAATCCGCAACATGACAGCTATAGCCCACGTTATGGAATCAATGAAGAGATGTAGTGGGGTCATGTCAATATGTTATAGTACAACGGAAGCTTCCCTTTTGCTAAACATCATTTAGCTAGTTCCCATTTCATTCATACACAATGGAAGCCTCATTTGATCTTTGCCAGGGCCGAGTGGCTCTCTAGAGCTGAATGAGCAGGACATCCGTCCATTTCAAAGGTTGGTCAGGTAGTTCATGTTTAATTTTTCTCTTCTAATTACACCTAGCTGAGCTTCTTGCTCGTTTTCCATGCCTCTCATCTACTTAACTTTCACCTCACCTTTATTATCGCAGCAAAAGCCATCAAGTGCAATGGCAATGGTGCTAGATGCATTTGCATCCTACTTGGCAGACTTGCTCATGCAGGTGGATGCAGAAGATCTGGGAATGCTGATCGGTGCTTCTGACGATATCGACAAGATGGGGAACAAGCTTCATGACCTCAAGAACTTCCTTGCAGATGTCGATAGGAGGAACATCAGCGACAAGAGCATCCAAGAGTGGGTGGGGCAGCTGAAGTGTGCCATGTATAAAGCTGCTGATATCCTCGACCTTTGCCAGCTCAAGGTCGTGGAGAGTGGAACATCACATGTAAATGTAGGGTGTTTTGACCCCCTTCTCTTCTGCATGCAGAATTTTAGAGAGTGTTTCAATCCCTTGCTCTTTTGCATGCAGAATTCCTCCCATGCTCATGACATCAGCACCCGCATCAAGGTGCTCAACCAGAGGCTTGACAGCATCAAGGAGCAGAGTGCTGCCTTTGGCTTCATCAATCTTGGGTCCAATGAGGATCATAGCAGTAATATGCACATCTCTCATCGTGGTAATCCTAGCCGCGAGATGTCGGGGCCCGACCGGTTCAGTGTGGTTGGAGAGAAGATCGAAGAAGACACAAAATCACTGGTGGCTCAAATCATGCAGGCAGGAAACAATATCAACAACAACATCATGGTGCTTGCCATCGTAGGTGTCGGCGGGGTTGGCAAGACCACCCTTGTTGAGAAGGTCTTCAATGATATGGCCATCCAAGGTGACTTCAGCAAACATATATGGTTGAGCATTGACAAAAACATCAGTGAGGTTGAGCTCTTGAGAAGAGCGGTTATTGAAGCAGGAGGAGACCACTCGCGGGCTGGAAATACGAAGACCACGCTTCATCAATCCCTCAAGGATGCCTTGATTGGTCACAAGACCTTACTAGTAATGGATGATGTGTGGGACCATGGAGCATGGGACGGTGTGCTCAAAGTTCCTTTCAATGCTGCTGCTTCAGGCAGCCGAGTCCTAATCACCACCAGAGATGAAGGTGTTGCGCTGGGGATGATAGCCACATGGCCCTACCACCATGTCAACACATTAGCGCCTGACGAGGCTTGGTTATTGCTAAAGAAGCAGGTTAGTACATATCAATGGCTTCTATGCACTAATACCTGCTGGAGTGCAAGCCATGTCAATAATTTTATAGGTCTGATTTTAACCTTGCTATTTTGCAAATAAATAAGTAAATAATAATGTCATCAAAGCATGGTGCTAAACAAAGAAATATATCATAGTGCCAACTGGATTTTCCATACTTTGTTGCCTACATGACACATTCAAAACACTAGGATTTTATTTTACCGAACTTTAGTAATTTGTAGAAAATCCGCATAATTAATAGATATGTTGTTTTTTACCATTGAAGAATTGTGGGGTGTATATACATGTAGTGATTAGATTGTTGCTAATTTTTAATTGTTTTGTCAAACCCAAGATGAAGATCTGAGTGATCAACTGCTCTTCCACTACGTTAGTATATAACAGAAACAAAATGTTATTTAAGATAAGAAACCAATAGTTTTTGTGAAACCTACCAATACAAGAAAAATAAAATAAGAAAATAACCAGACTAAAAGTTGAAGTGGTTTTCCGTAAAAAATGCACTCAGATTTTGGGCTGCGGTGTTTGTCTAGTATTATGATTTTTGCAATTTTTGCTAATTTTAGAGTATAGTTTTCTGTAACAACGATGAGAGAGTAGTGCAAAAGTATATTTTTCTTACAATGCATTCCATTTTATAAAGGAAAGGAAAGAATTTCTTCGTATATAGTGTCTACGTCATATGTGGAAGTCATTGCATAAATCTTTGGAGCATAGGAGCCTGATAAGTAAATTCATTCATTGATTCATAGCATTTCCCTTTTGACAAGCACTTTCTGTACTTTGAATATTTAGATAGTCAAACCTACCTTGATGAATAGACGACTACGTCCAATAGTACTCTTGTCTATTAAGAGTTATATTTGAGCGCCTTAGAGGAGCTTGGTACGTAGTCAATTAACTGTATCGGTTTGTTCAATTACATGTTTCCAGGTACTTTCAAGTGATATGGATGAAAACCACACCAATACGCTGAAGGATATCGGATTGAAAATTATACAAAAATTTGGTGGTTTACCACTTGCCATTTAATTAATGGGAGGACTCTTGCGTCAGAGAGAAGGGTTGCGCTGTTACTGGGAGAAGGTTTTGGATGATTCTAAATGGCCAATAGCTGAAATGCCTCGAGAGCTCAGTTATGCAGTATACTTGAGCTATCAAGACATGCCTTCTTATCTGAGGCAGTGCTCTCTATACTACTCTCTTCTTCCTAAGTGTAAAAAATTTCATGTGGGTGAAGTAGTTGCCATGTGGATTAGTGAAGGATTTATTCATGGCAACTTGAATGATTTAGAAGAATCTGGAAGATATTACTACAATCAGCTGATATCTACGAACCTAATAGAGCCAGATAAATCTTATTTTGATCAATCTTATTGTAGCATGCATGATGTTGTTCGCTCATTTGCTCGGTATGTGATGAAAGATGAAGCACTTATAGTTCACAATGAAGACATCAATATTCTTGCTAAACTCAATTCACAGAAGTTTCTTCGGTTGTCAATAGAAACCAACATGCTCCAATCAGGTGAAATTTATTGACAATCTATGCACAAGCAGCATGTGAGAACATTAATCTCAACTATCCACATCAAGATGAAACATGGTGATTCATTGGCTAAAGTTTCTTGTCTGCGGGTTCTACATATTGAATCTACGGACGTGGCCACATTGGTTGAATCGTTGCATCAACTCAAGCACCTGAGGTATCTGGCACTGATAAATACTGATATATTTGTACTTCCAGGGAACATTGGCAATATGAAATTATTGCAGTTCCTCAACCTTTGTGGATGCACACAATTAGTGAATCTACCTGATATAGCATTGTAAACCTCGGTCAGCTAAGGTTACTTAGTATTCCAAGCATAAGAATGATACCTAGAGGCTTCTGCGGTCTGACAAGTATGAGGAGACTACATGGCTTTCGAGCCCACATGGACGGTGATTGGTGCAGTTTAGACGAGTTGGGTCCTCTTTCCCAACTCAAACTTCTTAAAGTAATTCAATTGGAGAGTGTATCTTCTGCTTCGTTTGCTGCTAAAGCTAGGCTTGGTGAAAAAATACATCTCATCGACCTATTCTTGCACTGCACCAGCAAGTTGGGAGATTATTGGTTTGGTAAAGAGTATGAAGGCATCTCTCAAGCAGAGCAGCAACGAATTGCGGAGGTATTTGATGAGCTCTGCCCTCCTCCTAGTGTAGAAAATCTTCATATCGAAGGGTATTTTGGCCATCAACTCCCGAGCTGGATGATATCGACATTGACAGTGCCCCTCCACAATCTGAAGACACTATATTTTTCTGACCTGGCGTGTTGCACCCAACTTCCCAATGGGTTGTGTCAGCTCCCCTATCTGCATTTGCTTCAGGTCTGCAATGCTCCATGCATCAGGCGTGTTGAGACTGGATTCTTGCAGGCAGCGACAACACCATTTCCAAGGTTAAACAATTTGTCCTTAATTGGATTGGTGGAATGGGAGGAGTGGGAGTGGGAGGAGCAAGTGGAAGCTATGCCACATTTGGACGAGCTCTTTCTCTATAATTGCAGACTGAGGCGTGTTCCTCTTGGGCTTGCCTCCAATGCAAGGGCTCTGAAGAAATTAATCATACAAGATATCCAACACCTGAGCTATCTTGAGAACTTTCCTCTTATTGTTTATCTTACATTGCTTGGAAGCCCCGACTTGGAGAGGATCACCAATTTCCCAAATCTGCAGAAGCTTACCATCACCGATTGCCCAAAGTTGAATGTGCTGGAGAGTGTCCCTGCGCTCAATATGTTGGTCCTTGAAGATTACACCATGGAAGAACTCCCAGAATACATGCGAGATATAAAGCCAAGACATTTTCAGTTATTCTGCAGGTTATGGCTGCTCTGTTCAGTAGCCACAGGCCAATCTAGTATCGAGTGGGACAAATTCAGCCATGTGGAGCATGTCAAGGCATATGCGTATGATGATATGAACAAAAGGATGTGGTATGTGATGTACACAAGAAGTGATAACTTCGAGATTGATTCGAATATTAGCCGCTCTTCCATATTTAAAGGTATAGAAAATAAAAAATCACGCTTTGCCTTAATTTGTTGGGCACTCTAACTCTGTCATTTTATAAGTTTGTTCCATTTTGTCTATATATATGCTGCATGAAGACTGCATATATTCCATACTTTTTTTGTTTCACATGATTAAGTTATCTCGGAGGACATGTAGACATGGTTGTACTAGACATGCAAATTAAGTCTTAGCCACAACCGTGAGCATTGTTTAAGGCCACTCTCTGATTTCGTTGCACCCCCTCATGTTGCTAAGGATTTGTTTTTCTACTTGTTTTGTAGATCAATTACCTCAAGTTAAACAAATCAAGAGTAATATGTTTGTTCTTAGCTTAAGATTATGTATAACCAGTTTTGTACTTTCCTTGCCATGCAGAAACTTTATCTTCTTCTATGGTAGACACACAAGGATTTGAGTCTTTGTACAAAATGAGAAGAAGTACCTTTAATTACATCTGCAGCTTGGTGAAGGTGCCCCTTTCCGAAGATATGATGGTAAAACGTCACACCTTCATTGATGACAGAGTGTTGTCTTTCCATGATGCAGTAGCCATTGCTCTGAGAATGTTGAACTCAGGTGAGACACCAGAGATTATAGGATCATCATTTGGTGTGGATGGTTCAACGGTTTCGCTGTTAACTCAGAAGTTTGTTAAGGCTGTGGAAGGGCGAGCAATGCACCACATCAGTTTGCCAGGCTCCGCTCAAGTGGATAAGATCGAGCGCAAGTTTGACAAGATCCATGGCCTCCCAAACTACTGCGGTGTTGTACATACAACTCACATCAAATTTGGATCACAAAACCATGATAATGAGGAAAATGATGGCATGCTAATGCATGCCATGGTTGATGTGGATATGAGGTTCACGGGCATTTCATTGCGGCCGCAAGGTACCATGAACCAATCAAGATTTTTTCACGACACTTATGTCGTTGAGTCCTGCGTGAAGGGTGTTCGGCTGAATGGTAGAGAGCTGAATGTATCATCAGGTGCGGGATCGGAAGTTAGTGAATACATAATTGGTGATGTAGGATACCCTCTTTGCCCGGGGCTCCCCACACCTTACCGGTTGGAAAATGGCCTCTCATTCTCAGACGCCAAAGTTGAGTTCAACATGAGACATTCTGCAGCTACAGCTGTTGATCTGAGGCCGCTAACAAGGCTAAAAGAAACGTGGAAGTGCCTGGAGGGAGAAGGGTGGCATCCAAATAATCAACTTGAGATGTAATGGACAGTGAGCACATGCTGCATGTTGCATAACATAGTGATAGACATGGAGGAGGAGGAGGGTGTAGGCGTGCCGAGTGATCGGGAGGATAATTACATTGAGCAAGTGCTGCAGGTAGAAGATGAGGACGCCATCGGGGTGAGGGATGCACTGCTCCAACACCTGATCGAATCTGGAGGTAAAACAGCAATACCCAGACAATGTTGTATTTCTTCATTTCGTTTTTGTTCCATCCTATCCTATTTGTTCCATCTTATTAATTTCGTTTGTTTGGATGTTAGTCCACACAATGGCTACAGAGGAAGAACAAGAAGCAGCAACAGTTGCACCCGGTTCAGGAGATGAAAACAAGGAACAAGAAGAACACCACCGACAAAAAGCTGGCCAAGAAAAAGAGAAAGTGCATGATAGCTAGCCGCGGACATCGGATCAGGCCGTTTTCTCCACCTAATTAACTTGGTATTCATTTACCTCTCCTATTACGAACTGTGCTTCTAGTGGCAGTTCTCTTCTGAGTCGCTACACATGACACTAACTAATTAATGTCAGTTGAAACCATTATTAAATCCCTTGGAGATATATGTTAAATTGACTTGGAAAGAAACTAATCTGATCTATACATGCACCTATTTTATTAGCAATTGCTAAGCAGAAGATTACCTATTAGGACTGGCTCTCATGTATTCCCTTTCTGCGCAGGCCCTGACTATGCAGCCAAATTGGTGTTGCCACATGAATGAAAAGATGGATTGCGGAAAAAGACCTGTGTTGTGTAGGATTGGTCACATCTTTGGCAAGACAAGTGTCGTTTATTGTATATTATTGGCAGTAAGTTTTGATGTGTTGAAACTTGAGAGAACAATTAATAATGTAGCTGCACATAGGCTAAGAACTATAGTCAGTGAGTGGGTGTTGGTTGTTTCCGCATATTCTTTCGGTTGGTTATGACTTTATGACTTTGATATAACTCAACATTCTTCATAGACAACCCTGAACATTCATGGTCTCTGTTGCTATGCCTTCCTGTATACATTTACACATTCATGCTCTCTTGTTTGCGAGTCTTGCGGTTGTACATATGGTGGTTGGGTCATACTGATGTGTAGTGAATATATCTTCAGTTTACGGCGATGGAACTAGTGGATTCAGAACATGGAGGGCTCAATTGCATGCAAAATGTTGTCACAGACAGACGCCGTCGACCTTGGTGTCGTCGGTCTTGCTTTACTCTGAAGCAAGAAACAAGTGCCCCCCTTGCTGAAAAAACAATTGGTCACTACAGTAGATCATCTTGCCACCGTGCCATCATTGATGAAGAGACTTCCTTGCGCGCGGTATATTGAGCACATGCACATCGTTCGCTATAGATGGGTTGGCCAATCTCCTTGGTTCTAGCTGTCTATTTTTTTTCAAAGTTTCTAATGTACCGAATATTCGTCTTTAGAAGCATTCGCCAAGAAGCTTCTGGTATTTGTATGAACATAGTTTTATTTCATAATTATTAAATAAAATATGTAAGCAGTTCCTAAAATCTGTGTAATTTTAATAAAGATGGAAAATGAAAAAAATATTAAAATTGAAAAAATTGGAGAAGTTCCTTGAATTTGGGAACCCATTTTAAATTTGAGAAAAAAATTATAAATATAATTATTTTTAAACAAGCAACAAAACCAACAACTGGTTTTTCATGTAATAAGAAAATAATATGGTACTGAAAAACGAAAGTTTTTTTGTAAAAAAGTTGGGAAATCTAAGTGCATCATCCCTCTGTTGAAACTTGCGTAAACTATTGAATCCTAATTGGCGCTCGGTCCGTCAAAATGCCGCCGTTCCGCACTTTTTGGGCCGGCCCATTTAGAGAGCAAAATGCACTACAATATCCCAGTTTTGGCAACCTTCCAGGATGACTCCGTCAGTTTTTCTAGAAAATTTCAAAACACAATGTTCATGGTTAAAACACAACTTCAAAAAATCCCTGCATTTTTAAAAAGTATTTTAAATTATTATAAAATTAAGAAAAACATTTTATTCATTAAATGTTGAGCTTCTGAAAAATGTTCTCAATTTAAAAAGTGTTTTGGTCGCTATATTAGATCATCTTGCTACAGTTCCTTGCTGAGGAGACGACACAGTCACGGATGCCCCTGTGCTAAAGGCCAACAATTTTACGCTACTTGCATCGAATATGCATTCCCATTGAAGAGACTTCCTTGCGCGCGTAATATTGAGCACATGGACGCCGTTCGCTATAGGTGAGCAGGCCAATCTCCTTGGTTCTAGCTGGCTAATTTTTTTCTAAGTTTGTATTGTGCTGAATATTTCGTCTTTGGAAGCATTCGCAGAGAAGCTTCTGGTATCTTTAAGAAAGCACTTTTATCTCATAACTATTTAAATGAAACATGTAAGCAGTTTTAAAAATATGTGAAATTTTAATAAAGATGGAAAAAATTAAATTGAAAATGATAAAGACTTTTTTTTGAGAATGTGCATGCTTCACCCTGTTAAACGGTGCGACTAATATTACGAAATTGGATTACCCATTCTCTTTGCGCAGGCAATTTCCAATCTTAAACCCGGTGCACGAGCATGGATGGAGATGGATGATTCCGATTCCTACTGTCCAGCATAGCCGCGGCATAGATGCTGAAGGCGGAACCAACAAATTTGATCACTTATCAAAAGTTCAGCCAGGAATGACCGGTCTTCAAAACTTTAACTAAGTCTACCCCTTTGGTCCAATGTTGCCCTCTCTCGCATTGAGCTTGGCGTGTTATTGTGAGCGAATACAGTTGTAAAAGGGCAGACTAAAAAATTGCGGGGGAGGCAGAGTAAACTTTAGTGTTGAGATGTGGCATCGACCTTGTCCGTTGGTGGTATCGTGTAAAGAGACGATGCATTGGGAGCGCGCTAATTTGCTTGACACGAAAGGGGGGAAAAGGTTTTTTTAGGGATAGGAAAAATGTTTTTTAGGGTAAAAAAAAGTTTGTTTGCTTCATGCTAAGTTTTCTTCCTTTCTCTCTCTAAAAAAAATACAGGAAAAATATTTTTCGTTGGCCGAGGGCAGATCCGGTGCCCCGCCGCCGCCGCCGCAAAAGATTGGTCTCCGGCCACCGTGGAGTGGCTGGCCGGGGGCATGGTTTTCAATTTCAGTTTCAACAAAATTTCAGTACCAACTGGAATCACTGAAATTCAGTGAAATTCAGTTATTTCAGTTTGCATTTCAGCCAAAAGGCCGAAATATTCATTTGAATTTAATTAAATATTTGAAATTTTTGAAAAATATTTGATTTCTTGTGTCCTACTGAATTTGCTGAAATATTTTGACCGAATCGTAATATTTCAGTGTCTGCTGAAATTAATGAAATTCGGTGAATTTCAGTGAAATCTCACTGAAAGTGAAAACCATAGCCGGGGGAGCTCTGTCATGGAGCCTGACGAGACGGGAGCAGCGCCGGCGACCTGGCAGAGGAGGAGGAGGAGGGAGGCACGCGCGCCAGCCTCAGAGTTGTCGGCGGAAGTGCGGAGGAGGCGCCGGTCGGTATAGCGTCCTCGCCCCCAATTCTCGCAAAAGAGCGCACGTGGCTGCGGTGCCCAAGTAGGTACGGTGAGTCGCCATTTCCCCTTCGGCCGGCGGCTCGTTAAATTATTTACCTTTCTTGCCCTCCTCAATCCACATCTGTTAATTTTGATGGGGTCTGGAATTTTCTTGTTCTCATTTCAATCCATGGTACCAACGCACCAAAGTAAAGCATAGGTGTGCCCTTGCCCTCAACGCTCACCGCAAGTAAAGCATAGACCATGCGCTCTCCGATACGCGCGCAGGGTCTTGAGCTTGTCATCCACCGACGGCGCACCATACTTGCCTCACCAACCAAACACGACCCTGCTCTCTCCCGGCACGTTCTCATGGCGCACTTTTCCTGTTGGTATTTTACATGCTATCCCACTGCTTTACTATGCCTTGCCTCGGCTATCACCAACTAGAATAACTAGAGACATGTACCACCACCCCTGCACCCGGTTATTAACATCGATCAGTTTAAGTTAATGTAATGCACCATTTTTTATCCGATTAGTTTGTTGTGACGCCTGATAGTGAATTGCAAAAAACATCGACACTTCAGGCTAGGTTTGCAGGTACCACACATATACGAAATTGTGCCAAAAAGC